GTATTCAACTCTGTCTTTGCATCTCTGTACCAATGCCATCTCAGCAGAGATGTTGCATGATACAGAATTAACAGTATTTTACTTGGAATTCTCTTTTTGTTTTCAGATTATGTTGCTGCATTTGATCATTATGTCCCAAAGGGCATTTAAACTTCTCATTACAACTGAGCATTCTTTGGTCTTCTCAATGTTTCCACTACCTTTGTCTTCAAATTTTCTTAATGGCCCAGTCTATTCCCGGACAATGAACACAGCTGGAAAGGACTTCAGTGGAAATCCACCATACAAAAGAAAGCTCCATTTTTTAGCATCTGGTGCATGACCTTACTTTAAGCACAGGACCAACCTGTAAAGAACATAAACCCCAATGTGGAGAGGCAACTGCCAAGCACCAGTGCTCCACATATTTGTACGAAAATCTCCTGATCTATTAGGTTTTTTATTTTGATACAGCATACTGGAGCTTCTCTGGTTTACACGACTGACGAGCTCTGGGAGCTTGCACATGGAACGAATGGATCTGGCAGGCATTCACACCCAAGTTCCCATGAAATGTAAATTTTGTATTACTCAGTAACAGAATGCAACATATTTTGCTTTTAAAAGCACCTGCATCCTGGGTGCACAGAAACACACCTGCACTTAGGTAAAGAAACATTAAACGAGCTGGAAACACTACTACAGTGATGGGGAGGAGGGCAGGCTTGCTATAAAGAAACAAACCTAAGGAACTTTAATGACGATTTCTAAAATCAGTTTTCCCACATAATGTCCAGCCATGACACAGAATACCCTCAGTTGGAAGGGACCCACAAGGACCATCAAGCCCAACTCCTGACCCTGCACAGGATAACCCCAAGAATCACACCATGAGCCTGAGTGTTGCCTAAATGTTTCCTGAACTCTGGCAGGCTTATGCAAAATGTTACTTATTTGAAATATAGATATATTCGAAACTGAAATATTAGAAATATTGAGATACCATATTTGAATCACATATAAATCAAATAAACCCCTAATTTAACAGAGAAAAAGCATGATGTGAAGTCAGCAAAGAGAGCTTTGTTTTCTGGTTCTTTTTCCTCATTTGTGAGAGTTCTGTAAAGTATTGCTGGCACAAATAACGGTTCTAGTGATACCAGCTGACAAAAGTCTATTTTATGGAACTGACTGTTGTTGAAAGTTCGTAATCTCGTTGTTTCAACATAGAAAATGCAAATACTGCATCTTTTGAGAGGCAGCCCCGTAGGACTCCCGCAGCAGCAGCCAGGCTTTGCCAAGGCAGCGAGAACGGGCGCTGAGGAGGGAGCGCGGGTGCCTGAGGAACTGCGCGAACCCAGGGGCGACGCCGAGCCTTGGCCGAACCCATGTTATGGGGCACAGCTTCCCACACGTACCGCAGATCACGGGGGTCCCGCACGCCCCGTCCGGACTCCGAGCGGGTCCCGCTCGGTTCAGCCCCGGCGGCACCGACGCTGAGACGCGCCGAGCCCGTGCACGCGCCGCGCCCCGCCCCGCGCTTGCGCGCCGCCGCCTCCCACACGCACCCCTCTCCCGGGGCCCTTCATACGCATGCGCGGCGCCTGCCCGCGGCTCCGCTGCGCGCACCTGAGGGCGAGAGCCGTGCTGGCCCAACGACTTCCGCTCTCCCCGCTGCTGAGGCGGCGGCGCGGACTGGGCACGGGCGCTGCCGGCCCGCGGCCCTCTCTGGCCCCCACCCTCCTTCCCTCCCGCTCTCCGGCTGGAGCCGACCATCCCACTCCGCTCACCAGATAACGCGCCTGCCAGTCGTTCGTGGCGTCGATCTCCTGAAACTCCTGCTCGATGGCGGCGGACATGATGGCGGCGACCGGCAGGGCACGCGAGCCTGTCCGCAGGAGGCCGGCCAGCGACCTCGCGACCGCTCAAGCGCTGCCCCCCGCCTCACGGGAGCGGCGGGCGCGCACATACGCTCGCGACCGGGTGTCTCGGCGCCGGGCGCATGCGCGGCCCTCGCCCCGCCCACCGAGGGCCGGTGTGCCCACGCCCCCCGGGAGGAGGAGGCGGTATGCACCTGGGGTGACGTCACAGGGGGCGGTGTCCGTGTGCGCGGTAGGCTGTGGGTCTTCGGCCTCCGAGCGGTTGTTGTCACAGGATCACAGAATCAGCCGGGTTGGAAAAGACCTCTGAGATCATCGAGTCCAACCTGTGACCGAACACCACCTTGTCAACTAGACCATGGCACTGAGTGCCATATCCAGTCTTTTCTTAAAACACCTCCACGGACGTGACTCCACCAACTCCCTGGGCAGCCCATTCGAGTGTCTAATCACCCTTTCTGTGAAGAAAGTCTTCCTAACTTCCAAACTAAAGCTCCCCTGGCGCAGCCTGACGCTGTTTCCTCTCGTTCTGTCGCTGCTTGCCTGGGAGAAGAGCCCCATCCCCACCTGGCTACAACCTCCTTTCAGGTAGCTGTAGAGTGATAAGGTCTCCCCCGAAGCCTCCTCCTTTCCAGTCTAAGCACCCCCCGCTCCTTCAGCCGCTCCTCATAGGACTTGTGCTCCAGACCCTTCACGAGCTTCGTTGCCCTTCTCTGGACCTCCTCTAGCACCTCAGTGTCTTTCCTGAATTGAGGGCCCCAGAACTGAACACAGTATTTTAGGTGTGGCCTCGCCAGTGCCGAGTACAGAGGGAGAATCACTGGTCCTGCTGGCCACACTATTCCTGATATCGGCCAGGATGCCATTGGCCTTCTTGCCCACCTGGGCACACTGCTGGCTCATGTTCAGCCGCCATCGATCAGCACTCCCAGGTCCTTTTCTGCCGGGCAGCTTTCCAGCCACTCTGCCCCCAGCCTGTCGCGCTGCATCTCTGTCCCGATGTCACTGAGCGGACACGGCCCTCTGAGGGTGCATGAGCGCTTCCATGGAGTCCTCATCCCGGCTCAGCGCCGCACACCCCGCGCTGTGCCCCGTCGGCAGCCGCCCGTTCTCAAAAGCAGAAGTGCGGAGACACGGACGTATGGGACAGACAAATCACGGCGGAGCTCGCCGTCCCGAAAGCAGAAACGCCGCAGAAACGCCGCGTCCCGCCGCGATTGCCTCACTGGGACAGGGAGTCCCCCAGAGAGCAGCTCGGCAGACGCCGGGCAAAGCCAAGGGCCAGGCGGGGACAGCGAGCGCTGCGGGGCGCGGGCTGCGGGGGTAGAGCGCCTGTGGCCCTCGGGCAGACGAACAACGCCTGCGGCTCAGCAAAGGTCGCTGGGTAACGCCTGGAGCCTTAAAAATGTGTTTGTGAATTAGTGCCGCAGAGGGGGACTATGTATCATCAATGTCTATAAGTATCTGAAGGGAGGGTGTCAAGAGGATGAAGCCAGGCTCTTCTCGGTGGTGCCAAGCCATAGGACAAGAGGCAATGGGCAGAAACTGATGCACAGGAAGTTCCACCTGAATGCAAGGAAGAAATTCTTCGCTGTGTGGGTGACCATGCACTGGAACAGATTGCCCAGAGAGTTTATGGAGTCTCCCTCACTGGAGATATTCAAGAACCGTCTGAATGCAATCCTGTGCCATGTGCTCTGGGATGACACTGCTTAAGCAGGGAGGTTGGACCAGATGATCCACTGTGATCCCTTCCAACCTGACCCATTCTGTGAGAGGTTACAGTGCCTCCCCAAAACCTGGTGACAGCTCTGCCCTCCACCCCACTGCCTCCTCTCCCACAGGTCCCTGTCCTGAACCTTAATTCCTGACACTCCCTTTTCCTGCAGCAGGCTTTCCCCAACTCTCAACATGGCCCCTCATGGACTGGGAGGTTTCACAAGGAACATTTGGATATGCCCTCTCCCACCCCTGAGGGGCCTCCACCCCTCACTGGGCCCAGCTGCTCCCCTATAATCTCCTGCTCTGTTGCCACTGGGCCTCCTCCACCCTGGGCCCCCTCAGAGTGTCCTGACACCAGTTACTTACACACAGGCAGGGGCTGAGCATGTTAAGCATGGTGTGGCTGACGCATCTGAAGGAAGGACGCCATCCAGAGAGACCTGGACATCCTTGAGAAGTGGGCCCTCAGGAACCTCATGAGATTTAACAAGACCAAGTGCAAGGTGCTGCACCTGGGTGAGGGCAACCCCTGGTATCAACACAGGCTGGGGGATGAACAGATCGAGAGCAGCCCTGCCAAGAAGGACTTGGGGGCGCTGGTGGATGAGAGGCTGGACATGACCCCGCAATGTGCGCTCACAGTCCAGAAAGCTAATTGTATCCTGGGTTGCATCAAAAGCAGTGTGGCCAGTAGGTCGAGGGAGGGGATTCTGCCCCTCTACTCTCTGGTGAGACACCAACAGGAGTACTTCATCCAGCTCTGGGGTCCCCAGCACGGGAAGGACATTGACCCATTGGAGCGAGTCCAGAGGAGGGCCACCAAGTTGGTTAGAGGGATGGGGCACCTCTCCTATGAAGAAAGGCTGAGAGAATTGGGATTGTTCAGCCTGGAAAAGGGAAGGCTTAGGTGTGACCTAATTTGTGGCCTTCCAGTACCTGAACAGAGCCTGCAAGAAAGATGAAGGGAGACTTTTTACAAGGGCATGTAGTGATAGGGAAAGGGGCAATAGCCTTAAACTGAAAGAGAGTAGATTTGGGTCAGATATTAGGAGGAAGTTCTTTGCTGTGAGGGTGGTGAGACACTGGAACAGGTTTCCTAGAGAAGTTGTGGATGCCCTATCCCTGGAAGCGTTTAAGGCCAGGCTGGATGGGGCTCTGGAGCAGCCTGGTCTAGTGAAAGGAACTCCCCTTTCCATGGCAGGGAGGTTGGAAGAAGATGATCTTTAAGGTCCCTTCCAATCCAAGCCATCCCATGATTCTATGATCTACAGCCTCTATGATAACCAGCTGCACAGTCGTGCATGTGGCTGTGCCACCACTGTGGTTACCCATGCAACTAATAGTTTTGAAATGGACTTCTGGTTTTGACATCCAAATACCTGTCATTGAATGCTGTTGCATTTCTTTTCTGTTGTACACTGCTTGATGTACTTCCTTGCTTTCCTGCAAGAAAAGCTCATGTCCTGGACACCAGCGGACTGCACACTGGACACTTCAGGTGTCTCTGAAGCAAAGCTGAGGGGACAGTATGAATCAGTAAGTTCTTAACAAGTTTATTCAGGTAACTCAAGGAAATGTTGCACAAGATTTTCTTAAACTGTGGATTCAAGCTTTGAAATTGATATAGGGAATGGCTTTCCTGGATTTTTCTGCCTGCAAGACTGAGGCACAAGTCATGTCTGTAGTTCTCCAGTGTTCTCTAGTTAATCAGTGTTCTATATGTGAACTGTTATGAAACAAGTAAATAAGGCAATATTTGTGAATTATGTTTATGATTTTTGAAGTACAGAGAAGAATCCAAGTGCCCACCCTCAAGGTAAGGATTGGTTTTCATTTGAAATATGTTTCTTTGAATTCATGTTTCAATTAATAAAATCATTCTTAACCTCAGAAAACTTACATTGCACAAGTTGGGTGTAAGAAAGTGAATAGATACACAGAAACTCTCTGCCAAATAACAAATTTCAATAACAAAATGAAAATATACACCTTCCTCTGATTTTATTCTTTGGTAGGCTTTTCCCTGTACATAAACTCGCTGACTAATCTGTATCTATAGCATTTATGACATGAGAAGCTTGTGCTTGCCACTGCTTGTGATATTGGGGGATGTAGTTCATACTGGGACAGCAATGTAATCGTGTTGTTAGGAAAGGGAGTTTCATGGTAGGAACTATGTTTAGAATCTGTAACATGAATGCCCAGAGACAGCTCATGGAAAGCTGGTTTAAAAAAGCAATAACTTGTAAACCAGGAGTTTCTGAAGAAATTGCCATTGTCTGGTTTTGGGTTGTTGTTTTACTGCAAATATGCTGAAAATGCTGGACCAGTTCTCTGGTTTTTGGGAAGTGAGGCCAGGATAGGCCCAAGACTACAGTTATAATGGTCTGTGGAGGAGAACTGTATATACAACATAAACCAAGTACACTCATTAGAAAACTTTATTTATTCTATTGCCAATAGTATATTCCCATTCTGTATTAGCTGTGCAGCCAAACCCATATGAACTACTACATAAACCGTTAAACCCTTGAGACAGCATGAGACACATGCAAAGCAGGATAACATAGTTCCTGGAAAATCTGTTATGATGTTAATATTTTCTGTCTTAGTATAAACACAAATGGGCAGTTATTGCAATGTTTTCTTATTAAAATGTCTGATAATTTGAGAAGCCCCTTGCTGCACTGACAGAACAGTCACCCTAAGGTAGTCGGTATCCACAGCAGTTCTGATTTCAAAATTAGCTTTGGTGCCCTTGAAGACCAGTCGAGTAAATTTTAAATGTTTTTTGTCCAGTGACCTTGGCTGAACAATTAACTTTAGTACCAGTCTGGAATGGACTAAGTGTTTGTTCCTCCATTTGTACTTTTTTGGTCATTCACTGGAATTACTTAAGCACCATTTATTGGAAATGATCTAGTTTGTGCTGCTTTTCTGAGAATCATTTTGGATATTGGTAGACGAAGAACAAATTCTTCCCTGAGGTGGTTTTGTTCACAAATACACTCCACATCAATTTTAGCTGTTAAGGAAGAAAGCTGTAATGTGCTTAAGCTTGCCACGATGTGAAAGGATGAGAACAAATAATTACTGATTTAAGTCTTGTAGCCCAAGGCCTAAAGGCGAACAGGATCCTCCCTTCCCCTATGAGCTGGATAGGACTTGAAACCCAGAAGGGCTGGCCACTTTCTGGCATCTGGTAGGGAGCAGGAGAAGCTGGATGAAAAGGTCCAATGGTCAGGATGAAACAGATTTCATTTATTGTGTGCATTTACAGTGTAGTCATTGTATTTCAGACTTTTGGGAACTGTATTCCTTGTTCAAGTGAAAGTTAAAATTCCTATACCGAAAGTGGATGTCAGTACAAATACTTCTGAACTATATTGTTGCTTTCCTCCCCCTGCCCAAAACTGTATTCTGGCATACAACAAAAGGAAAAAAACCAAAAAACTCCACCACAAACCCTTCAAAATGTATGTAGCAAAATGCAAATCCTTGTAGCAGTGCCAGGAGCAGAAGTGCAAGGGGCTCAAACAGGTTTGCATTCAGCTAAGAAAGTGTGTCACATCAGAGGTCCACAACAGTGGGATCCTAGTGTCTGATGAAATCCAGCTCTGTAATAAAAGTGATGGGAATATGGAAGAGAAGGGCAACACAGCTGTGCCCAGACTATAGGATTGCCCAAATTGTTGCCTGGAGTTCTGTGTAGAAGAAATTCATGGCCAAGGAAGAAAGGAAATACTAAGGTATATTAAGGGAGTCTGTTTCATAGGCCAGAGATCTGTGCCAGTCTATATGGCCCTGGACTCCTACAGTAAAGCTGAAATACTTGTGGAGTATGAAAAGAAAAGTGTAACTGGCTGAAGTGCTGTCATGAGTGAATGGACACACTAGCAGGCAGAAAGGGCAGCTGGCCAGGATGTCTGAGGGGTAGAACAACTTTAGGCTCTGCTGAGGCTTTGTGTGCCCTTCCAGCAACCTAAGCTGGGGTGTGCAGTCAGCCACAAAGCCTAATGCCTATGAGTCAATGCAGGGGGTGTGGGGTACAGCTACAGGAAGAGGAGGAGAGCCAGTTGCCAAGAGAAAGATGACTCCGAGTTGTTATTTTTCTTGCTTGTAGAGAGGATCTTGCTTGCTGGGGATGATTTGTGTATGTTACTTGATTTTCTGTTCCTCTTTCCTTTTCATCCTTAGCTATAGTGGAATTTATTGAAGTCATGGTTTGCAAGTGAGAAATTCTAATTCACTGAGTGTCCAGAGTGGCTTGATGTCATTCCACAGTCCTGGCTAGAAGGTAACTTTTTACTAGAAATGGCATCTATAGAAACTGCCTATAGCTGACATAAAGTTTTCACATTTGTTTGAAGATCACTGGTTTATTAGATTTTAAAATTATTTTCCTCACAGACTGGATATGGCTGTTCATGCTTAGACCATTCTAATCTTGCAGTTATTACTTCAAAGCATCACTTTACCTGCATAATGGTTAAAGAGATGTCTAAGCAGCAGTTCTGGAAATACCTTTATGTTGCCCAGTGAGTCTTTAATTCACATTCTCTTACAATTTTGAAATCATAGTATCATGACCTTGTAGCTTGTCTGTAGCACAGTTTCTGTATTTTAGTGGTTTTCATGCTTGATTAGATATATGTTCATCTACATTCAAGATTATCTTCCAAATTACAAAATGAAGGGCATTCTTTGAATTACAGCTGAAAAGGTTGTGATGCACCAAACCACTGTTATTTGCTAGGACAAGTTCTGGTAAGAAAATACTTTTTAGCAAAAGAAGACTTTGTACTGAGGAGTAACAGTAAATGTGTCTGTTACAAATTTGTGTTCTCAATTTTACGTTCCCGGTTTTATTTGGGTTTCCCGGCATCTGAACAGAGCAATTATGACTATCTTCAAGGGTGTAAAAATCTCCAAATTGTGTTTGCCTTTTTTTTTTTTTCCTCCAGTAGCTTGAAATAAAGTAATAAAAGTCCTCAGATGTAATCCATTTTGTAATTTATATTTCTGCATTAGACAACCTGAAGGGCCAATAACAGGAAAAGGTTTTCTTTTACTACTAGCTGTAATAATGATTTAAAAAATCTTATTTTTACCAACTTCATAGAAACTTAAATTTACCATGTGGTGGTGAGCCTTCAACATATGTTACAATAATTACTTCTGTCTTTCCTGTGCTAGCAGAGGTAGGTCTGTGCAAGGTTTGTGATATACTTGCCTGTTTTTAAGTTGACATTAATATATCCAATTTCATATAATTTCCCGTATAAACTTGTCCTGTGGAGATAATGAGCAGCCCTGTAGGAGCCACATTCTCTGAGTCACTGTTTTGATGGCAGGGTTCCACGAATGTGCAGCTCATTTTGTCTGCTGAGATGTCCTTTGGTATGTTACACAGAACAAGGTGTTCACACTTGAGTCACTGTGGAACACCATCGGATCTTGTGAGGACCATGAAAAACTAGATAAGAATTCGCATTGCTACATTTATATCGCAGGGCAGGATTGTGATAATAGATGCACCTCTCTTTTTCCCTTGAAGTAAATGAAAAAGCAAAGAGGAAAATACATTTTGCCTGTATATGGCAAAGAGCCATGAAGAAATGTTTAATTTTTCAGGTAGTATGATTTCCTACAAAAATCAGTTAGTAGTGCATATAAAATTTATCTTTCCTTTTTTTTCTTTGATAATGTCTCTTATAAAAATGTCTTTGAAACTAATCTGCCAAAGTAAGGAATCTTAAAAAAATCTGTTTTGCATAGCAAGTATAATAGAATTTCTGAATGTATGCTATGTTCCCTTTGGTCCAGACATTTAAAACCTCTAATTCGTACCCTTGTGGCATGTGAATGGGCTGTAACTGCTAAACCAATTTGTTTGTTTTCTCAAAGAAAAGAAAAACTGAATGTAATGTACTGAAAGAATGATCCATAACACACGTTTTCCAATTGGAATGCTGTCAAGGTCTGTAACATCTTATTTTAGCCAGTGGAACAGTTCCAGCAGTTCAAGTCATGACATGACCACTTACTGGAATTAACAACCTGGGGAGAAAAATGCCCTTGTGCAGAACGTGTCCAGTATCAAAACTGCTGTATGAAAGTCTCTGGATCTTTTGAATTTTATGTCTTTTCTTTTTCCCTACTCTCTCACAATGTACAAAGAGACATCACTAGTCATCAAACAATACAATTTTCCTTTTAAAAATGTTATGGTACCACTCCTCAAGCAGACCTCCACATCTTCTTTGGTGGCAGACATTCATACCCACTAAATACACTGGAGGCAATTTATCCCAAAGAAAACACATAAGATGTCCTAGTACACCATTTTCTTTATTTTGCCACATTCTTATATCAGAAACGTCTTGCTTGTGTGTTAGATCATTCAGAGTCAAATTCTTCTCATGATTTAAATATACAGTTATGTTACTAACACAGATTTGCAATAATGGAACAATGCTACAAAGACATAACAAAACAAAGTATGTTGTTAAGATTATATTTGCCAAGAAATATCCTCCAGGGTCACTTTAGCATCTCAGGTAGCTTCTACCTCCGATTCTCTTACACTAATTTTGGAACCTCTATTGGCTTGAAATTTATTTTCATTGTCAAAGATGGTTGTTTTCTTCTTACTAGCCCCTTCTTAAGCACTGAGCAGAAATGACAAGATGCAGAGCAAAAGCAAAGGTTTTTTCTTCTTTTGTGTGCATGTGTTCAAGAAAGACCACCTTAGTTTTGCCCTTTTTTTTCTTGATTAAGAAAGAACATTTAATTGAGTCTGGTGATTAGATTCCTGAAAGTGATACTGTGAGGAGAGGATTAGGAGATACGACTGCCATAAACCCATATCTGCATACCTTAACAGGTTGTTACATTAACATTTATATAATAATCCAAATGGTCCTGATTTCCCTTTGCTTCTCAACATATTGGTAGTACCTTCTACATACTATCATCAGAAGTTATAAATGCACAACCTAATTTCTAGATTCAAAGTATATCTTGGCTGGTAAATGCCATATGAGGAATAATATGAGAGCAGCTACGGTGAAATTAGAAGTGGGATGTATTATTTGTGAAACTGACACATATGCAGTCTTTATTCTAGAGGAATGTCTGTTCTGGGGAAAGTCAAATTCTATTATGCCAGTATTTCTTTGTCCCAAGAAAAGTGGTAAGGATAATTAAGTGTTAAGGACAATTCTCACCTAATTTCCAGAGTTTTAGCAACCTTGGAAAGTAGGATGAGGCAGACAGCTGAAGGAGGTAACTGCATCAGTCATTACAGCTAATTTTGCTGTCAAATAGGTGTCAACATTATGCAGTATTACAATAGAATTTACACAATTCTGTCACAGCAAGTGGAATAAATCCTGACTATATTTGGACAGGAGATTCCAATGAATAATGATTATGTTTCTAAAACATAAATATATATGCCTTCTCTTTCTTTTATCTCTCACTTTCCTTAGAGAGGAAGTATTTGGGAGTGCTTTGTTCACACAGAGGAGTGACTCGTTAATAAGTTCGATAATTGATCAGATTAATGAAATCTATTCTGCAAGTTATACACCTCTAGTTACTCTAACTGGAAACTTACATGCACAGCATTTTATACAATAGCTTTTGTTATGCAAGTTGCACATAAGTATACCTTTAAATCTGCGAAGTGTTACCCAATGTGATGGAAATTATATTAGCTAGAATTACCAAGTGCCGACTTTTGTTTTTCTTGATAATTTAAAAATATTTCTACAAAAAGTAAGGCAGATAGTTTTAATGATCATGCAGATAACTGCATTATTAACTCTTGGAAATTTACCTCTTTCAGGATCAGATTATAGCATTATTAGGGAGAAAATGGAAACAATATTTTTGCTTTGACTAATCTCTGCAAGTCAGCAGATGGTGGTTAAGTAGATTCAGTGCACTGTTCATTTGTGTGTTTATACTCTGTGCATAATACTTGTGTATATAAATATCATCTGTTCCTGCTGTCCTCCCACAGAGCACCACAATGTGCTGTGTATTTTCTTTGTATTTCAGATATCTCAAGGGCATGGGCTCAAGAGTTATTCTCAGTACCTAGGAACAGTACATCAGCCACTCACCAAAGATGCAGGTGTCTGAAATAATTGTATTTCAGCTTGTTCAAAAGCAGATACTTTTGAGCAAATGTTCAATAAGTTGTGTGGGTAGAAATTATGTCTTTTAGGCATACATTGTTTCCTCCTTTACATGGCAGTGGGTTACTTTGGGCAGGAAGCTGGTAATTACCTTGCTGTTAATTAGTATGACTTACCTGACCTTTGCTGAAAGGAGCATTCACTGTTCAGCAGTTGCTAATAAGCCTCCACAATAGAGCTGTGTGGGATGTTCAAAGTGCCATTAATCCTAAGGCACGATGTGAACATGCCTCAAAATACTCAAGTGCTCTTTTCAGTGCGTTCATATGGTGGATGCTCTCTCATCTTTGGGCTGTATTTCTTTTGGCACGCGCCTTGAGTTTTCAGTTTAAGTATCTGTCACAACACAAACATTCCTTATTCCTGTAAGGCCAAGTGACCATGCTAATTTGTACAAGTCCATAGAAAAGAGACTTAACTGCATGCAGACCTGATTTTTCTCTTGCAACAGTGAAATTTTAAGATTTAGAAATAATTTAATTGAAACTATGTTAACATAAACTATGACCATACAGTTTACGCAATAACAATTTAAAATTACATAAATTCTTTGCTGCAACTAATTACTGGTCCTTTGAGTAATCTGTCCTCATAGCAATTCATGTTGGGAATTTCTTCTTGTTATGATTCTGATCTGACAGCATCACTGGGTTGAGAGATGTGATGAATGAAGTGGTTGGTGATTAGTATGAAGCCAATGTACATTTTCTCTTTGAAGGGAGTGCACCTTCACAGCTGCTTGTAAGGCAGCATTTTTGTTAGTGAGAATTTCACTGGCAGAGGAAAAAATTCCAGTGAATGGGAAATTAGCTTTTGTAGTCATGTGTCTTCCAGAAATTCAAATATGCTTCCCCTGGAATCTTGTCTGGGATTTCATTACATGTTCTTAATCCAGATGTTTCAAATGCTTTGGAAACAATGAACTATTATTTTTGTCAGAATAAATTCATCACATTTCCTTTCAGAAATGTCAGAGGGAGGAGGAGTGTTTAGCAGAACTCTAGGGAACCTTTAGGTGTGCTCTCTGCTGGAGTCTGAAATGTCCCTGTCCATTTAACATTTGCTGATATATATTATCTGGACTCTGCCCCCAGACTGTTCCTTAGCTAAATTAACTCCATCTTGTTATGCCCCACAGTGATCATATATAAGCTATCTGCAGCATGTGCAATTCATAAATAGGTGATTCCAAGTCTATAATATAGTTTCCCTATACACCATGTAGAAATTTGAGACAGAGAGACAGGGTCTATTTACGTAGGAAGAAATTAAAGTGTCATTTAACAGTCTGAAAATCTTGGTGTGCTGGTTTAAAAGTTAACCAGCAAGGCAAAATGAACTCAATTCAAAAGAGAGATTTATAAGTCAGAATAACAATTTATTAAAATAATGCAATAAGTACAAGTATACAGACAGACAATTGGTTTTAACCCACAAAACCCAAATGTACAAACCCAGCACCCTGGGGTATGAACAAAAGTGGTGTACCTTGGCCCACCCCCCAAGTCCAAAGCAAAGGGAGAGGGAATAGACCTGCTGGTGGGAGAGCTGCTGCAGTCTGGTCAGAAGTGGTGATTGCAGTCCAGTCGAGGGTGGTGGTCTCAGCCTGGTTGGGAGCAGCGGTGGTCTGCTGTCTTCCTCTGGGTCCCACGAGAGAGAGAGTCCCAAGGCTCTGAAACTCCCAGTTATATACTCTCCAGTTCAGGCGGGAGTGCTCAGTCCCTCCCTCAGAGTAGGGAATTCCATAAAAGGGCATGCGGATGCTCAGTCCCTCTTCCATAAAAGGGTATTAGAGCAGGGAATTCCATATAAGGATATCAGAGCGGGGAATTCCATAAAAGGGTACAGGAACATCTTCCCACCTTGCAGGCCTCTACTGACAGCAGTTTTTGGGAAATGGCATGGAGGCTATAGAATACACAGTTTTGGGTTACACCCATCCAGGGATGAATTGGTCCCAGCCGTTCTAACCAGGACACTTGGCTATGCCCTTTCAGAAATATTCCTTAAACTCTGAAGCTGTCTGTAAGTACAGCCTCTTGCCCTAGCTGAGATTCCTGTTAGACCCAGAACACAGAAAAGATTGTTATTCCTTACTTTTAGATACAAGAAAATGGCCCCAAGTATTATTGTTTTGTTGAAAGTCATAAGTATAAGGCTCTTTTTGGGATGGGCCCTGAGTTTGTTCAACTGCTGCAGAGTTATATTAATGTCCTTGTACAGCTGCTTAAGTATATCTTTTTTAATGGGTAATCCTGTTGTGTTTGGAGAATATGTGGTTTTCCTAAAATGCTAATTTCAAAAGCTCTTTAGCCTATTATAGCTAAATATCATTTTAATGAAGCATGTTTGTTACACTTTGTTACCAACAACAAAGTATTGATCATGTAACAAGAGTAACAAGCAAGCTACTTCCATAGTGAATACTGCATTGTGTTGTCATCTTTCAAACTGTGTTGAACCACCTCTGCTGCACTATGAGTTCAGATTTGTACCAGACAAACATTTAGATATTATGCCCTAGTACAAATACTTCTTCTCTTTCCAAATGAAAAAAAAAAATTCTTGAAGACATTTATTTGTACTGACAGGCAATGCTGTTTTAACTTTAGATTTATTAACTTTATTTTATTTCAACAGGGAACAGCAGGGCCAGCTGCAGGTACAGGCAATGTAGGCAGGTTGCCTATGGATGCAGATGTTCAGGGTGGCACAATGGTCCCAATAAAGAGCAGCCAAGCTCTACTCTTTCTTCTGCCAAGGCCTTTCTCCTGTGAAGAGGAATACCATGACTTTGAGCTGTTCATACCATGTGAACAACTGATTTCTACCTTCTGACAGCAAACTCTCTCAGCCTGAGTAATTTACACTTTTATACTGCAAGGATGTATGTGTTATATTGTGTATGTGCATGCTTTATACTCACTCTCAGAGTGAATATGCACCAGCTGCAGTAGCAAACCTGACCCTTCTGACTCGGTCCTATCTCTGCCCCATCCTTTCATGGGAGCAGCTGAGTCCTGGCAGCAGTGTGGGAGAAGTAAATGATGAATTATTTACTGCTTGAGAGGTGAGGGCTGTGGGCAAGGAGAGGCACAATCTCCTGAAACTACAGACTGGAGGGCTGGGATCCAGTGACAGATGAAGTAGGCCTCTTAGTTCTACTCCTCATCATTCAAAATCCCACTGAATCTTCTAGCTGGTCTCAACAGTGGATCTCCCTACACCTCCCTCTTCTCTTTCCTCCATGCTCTTCTTCATGCATATCCACCTTCCACAACCTCCATGTTCTATTGTATACAGACTCTACTACTGCTGCATAATTCAAATTTTTCTGTCAGCGGAGATGCCTTGAGTCAGCTCCAGTAACCAACCACTTAAAATTTTCCAATCTATTAAGCAGATCACATCAAGTTGTATGCTCACTTCAAAAATGGAAGAAAAACTCCAAATAAAGAAAAAAATAATCTAAAGATATACCTCTGGTAAATGAAATTCAGTCACATACAGGATGGATGGCATCCCTGTGTAACATGGCTCAGCCCTGCTTCTGTGCCATTCGTCAGCTGTTCCTCCGCCTCCACTCCCACAGAGCAGGAGTGATGAGGGAGCTGGCAGAGGAGCTCACCAAGCTCTGTCCATCACTTATCACCAGTCCTAGCTAACTGTGGAGGTCCCAGATGACTGGAAGTTGGCCAATGTGACGCCCATCCATAGGAAAGGCCGGAAGAAGGATCCGGGAAACTACAGGCCTGTCAGCCTGACCTCTGTGCCTGGCAAGGTTATGGAGCAGGTCATCCTGAGTACCATCACCCAGCACTCGCAGGAATGCCGGGGGATCAGACCCAGCCAGCATGGATTTTAGAGGGGCAGGTCCTGCCTGACCAACCTGATCTCCTTCTGTGACCAGGTGAGTTGCCTGGTGGATGAGGGGAAGGCTGTGGATGTGGTCTACCTGGACTTCAGCAAAGCCTTTGACACCGTCTCCCATAGCATTCTCCTGAAAAAGCTGGCAGCCCACGGCTTGGACAGGTGCACTCTGCGCTGAGTTAAGAACTGGCTGGAAGGCCGGGTCCAGAGAGTGGTGGTGAATGGTGTCACATCCACTTGGTGGCCGGTCACCCCGGTGTCCAGGGTGTCCCCGGGGGATCCCATGGGGACACCCCGGGATGTCCCCCAGTGTGTCCCTCAGGGATCAGTGTTGGGCCCAATCCTTTTTAATATCTTTACTGATGATCTGGACGAGGGGATTGAGTCCACCATTAGCAGATTTGCAGATGACACCAAGATGGGGGGGAGTGTCAATCTGTTAAAGGGTAAGAGGGCTCTGCAGAGGGACCTGGACTGGCTGGATTGATGGGCTGAATCCAATAGTATGAGGTTCAACAAGACCAAGTGCTTGGTCCTGCACTTTGGCCACAACAACCCCATGGAGCACTAAAGGTTGGGGACAGAGTGGCTGGAAAGCGGCCAGGCAGAAAGGGACCTGGTGGTACTGATTGACAGCAGGCTGAACATGAGCAGGAGTATGCCTGGGTGGCCAAGAAGACCAATGACATCCTGGCCTGTATCAGGAATAGTGTGGCCAGCAGGACCAGGGAAGTGATTCTTCCCCTGTACTTGGCACTGGTGAGGCTGCACCTTGAGTACTGTGTCCAGTTCTGGGTCCCTCAGTTCAAGAAGGACATTGAGGTGCTGGAGTGTGTCCAGAGAAGGGCAATGAGGTGAAGGGTCTGGAGCACAAGTCCTCTGAGGAGCGGGGGTATGTCCTATGAGCGAGCTGGGGGTATTCAGTCTGGAGAAGAGGAGGCTCAGGGGAGACCTTATCAGTCTCTACAACTACCTGAATGGAGGTTGTAGCCAGGTGGGGGTCAGTCTCTTCTCCCAGGCAACCAGCAGTAAGACAAGAGGACACAGTCTTAAGCTGCATCAGGGGAGGTTTAGGTTAGACATTAGGAAGAAGTTCTTCACAGAAAGAGCGATTGAGCATTGGAATGGGCTGCACAGGGAGGTGATGGAGTCACCGTCCCTGGAGCTGTTTAAGGAAAGACTGGATGTGGCACTCAGTACCATGGTCTAGTTGACAAGGTGGTGTTGGGTCACACGTTGGACTCAATGATCTCAGAGCTCTTATCCAACGGAGCTAATTTTGTGATTCTGTGACTGCCATCTGCGGCTCCATCCCATCGGTCGAAGGCTGAAGAGGAAAGGTTCTAGGATTTGCTCCTCTCGGTAGCACCACTCTTTCCCCTCACGAGCAGACTGCCGAAGGAGTTTGCTCATGTGTGGGGTCACTGAGAGACTACTAACTCTAGAAGGCAGAAGTCCTTCTTCAAACACAGTTCACCAAACCCTGTCTGACCCCACTATCCAAATGACTAATTACTGTAGTAACTGGTGGTGCTGTGAAATCTTTTTTTAAGGTAGTGAAAAATTCATGTTACCACACACCACTAAAGGTATTAAAGCCTTTCTTAGCTTATAAACAACCATACACAGCCATTTTGTAAGCGACAGCAATAATATTGCATTAGATATTATATCTTAATTGTAGTCTGCAAAAATTATTTAACTGTTAACTTTGTCACTGTTCATACGTCGTCTTCTACTTCTGATGTTTCTTTCCACACACCCAAACAGATGGAGGAAGGCCACTGCTGCTAAGTTTAGACTTTTCTGTCTGTTCTTACTGTGAAAACTCTCAGGGACAGCTATTTTCTACTTTTACTCCTACAAGCTGTTTCTATTTCCCAACTTGAGATCACTAGTTTAAAGATAGCTCTGATGTAATTATACCATCTGAGATCAACCTTCGTTTTCATCTGTTATGAAGCCATCAGTATTCCCTTCCTAGCTCTCAGTTATGTTGCTTGTCAGCCTGTCATTTCAATTTTCGCTTACATTTCTTTGCACATTCATATGGCTGAGAATAGTTTTTCATCCATAAGTCACTTACTTATATTTAGCATCACTTCTGTTTCCCCTTAACTCATCTTTTATGTGCTGCCACAGCTATACTTGACCATGACTGGGTAGATGCTTTCCTCAAATGTAATTTCTTAGGCTAATAATTATTATTTTGCCTACTTAGTCTTCCTGTACTCTTTTTTACGTTATGTGCTAAAATGTAATTTTACAGTTGGAGCTTATCTTTTTCTTGCATCTTGGTAGTAGTCATTATTTTAAATAAAACAGTGAGTTTTTAAATCCAGATTGGGACATTCTATTGATTTCCTAGCAAAACAAATAATTACAGGTTGTAAGTGGAATTCAGACTGCAGCAGCAACAAAGCAGTGTGACACATAAAGGTTCACTGTTCTGCTTTCTTTAAGTGCCTGTTCTATTCTTAGTTTACTCACAAAAAGACTTGGGGACTTTACCCTCATTTTTGCCCATGAAATCAGATTTTGCTACTAATTTCTTGCCATGATCTGCCAGTCATGCCTGGTAAGTGATCCTCTTAATTTGACTTACATTCATAACAGTAATGACTAATATTCTTTTTCCTCAGCAGAAATTCATCCCCCATCTTTCACACAATGCCATGATTATGTGTGCTTTCCTCTGAAACCTATACCTTTAGAGTTCCAGTTTGTATGACACTATGTTACACATACAAGACCACTTGCTAACATTTTCAAACTCTTTCTAATTGTCAAGCTTCAGATTCTCAGAGCTAGGCAACCTCCTAAATGACTGGGTTTACCAGATTCCCCCCCCCCCATAATCTAATTGCTCAATAACACCACTTCGTATTTCTACAGTGTCTTAATCAAATCTCCAAATCATAGATACTATTTTACTCCCTATGGGATATTATGAATTGTTGTGGATCCAGTTTTTAAGTTAAGGAAAACACAGTACAGAAAATTGTCAGGATTTCACAGGGTCAGGCAGGTCTTCCCTGCCAACAATAACATTTTTAAAAGCTCATCAGGAATGGAACCTCAAACTATGCTGTTTGCTGTTAGCATGATAATCCGTGATTGTGTGTAACAGACCAGCTTCTAGTGCAGACATGACCGAAGCATGTGACAGTGGTAGCTATATAAGACAGGCTTCCTCACCCTCTATCCCATGCCAATATAAACATCCTTAATGCATGTATTTTCTTTAAATCCAAGGCAATGTCAGTTATAGTAATTCTGAATGAGAATATCTCTACCAATGCTAATACACTTACACTGGACTTGGAGCAGAAGTAAATTAAGTTATGCAGGTTTATATAGTCAATTTGAGAACATAATTGGCCTACTGTGTCAAAAGTGAAAAACTAACCTTATTATTTCTTCTCCTATGCTGTGGTTCAGACATAATACTGAATTCAAATGTTAAAAAATACATATCAGGATTGTGATAATTCAGTGTGGTCTTCCTCTGCTTGTGATTAAGCAAATAGTAAGGTTAAAATACAACTGTCTTTTCCACCTCAGGCACACCATCACCATGAACAGAGTGTTTTTCCTTACTATTCAGCTCCAGCTGTAAAAGGAAGTCTGCAAGGTTAGCTAACAGTTGAATCCTAGTTCACGGCTCAGTAACTGGAAGCTGCAAATTTCCTGTGGTTTCCGTGAGTTCCAGCATGCTTCCCGTTATCTTGCTATGGCACAGAGTGTTCTGGTTACCATCAGCAGTAGATGGTTATGTCCCCCTGACCATGGGCACGGTGGCTGCCCACCACTGCTGTGCAGAGTGGATCATCCTATTGTGTGCCAACTTTACTACCTTCTGGATACTCTGGAAA